ACAATAGATTTCTCTAAACTCAATAAAGTAAATTATAATTTTTCAATATTATAAGTTGCAAGATCTTTTTTTTACGCGATTCAACCTCTTTTTACGTAATTCGTATCAAAATATGGTATTCTTTCAAAACGTGAATAATATCATTTTTTGTTTCGTTGTGAAGTCATTTTTTTTTATAAAAAAAAAATAATAATATCTACTAATCATTTATAGAAAATCATTGTGATTATGGCGATTACTATAAACGCGCTTAGTTTTGGAAGGAGGTTTTCTGTTTTCTCTGGGAATTAGTTTAAGGTTAGGGTTAAATTTTACCAATAAAGAAATTACATTGATAATAAAGTACAAATATATTAAATAAGAAATTCTAGAAATATATATAGGTTGCGGGGGTAGGTTTTAACGTCGAATATAAAAAAATGTTCATATTTTTTAAAATAAAACAAAAAAATTACAAAACGAAAGAAACATAATAACATAATAGCACCCTGCATACAATCCCAACCAAAAAATTTTATATAATGTAATAAAATAAAATATAATTTCATTTAGTTCTTAAATTATATATATTAAAATCCCTTGCTTGGCCGGAATCATCAGCAAAAACCTCAACCCATTTCACAAGGAGATCGATACCCTTATCAACAACTATATCCGTGAAATTACTTTACTTCATCTCCGACTCCTTTGCGAACGTACACAATAACGCTATTTCCTTCGTGTCATTCTTTCGGGGATCCCGCACACATCACAGCAAGTTTTTTTCACGCGGTCGCTCGTCCAAAATTTTATCCGCTATTTCTGAGAACATCCTAGCGACAACACAATGATCTCCTAAGCTCCGATAATTTTCCTTGTCCTCATTTTATTTGTTAGATAGCCAAAGACAAATACAGGTGCATCAACAACGTTTGATTTTCTGGTTCAATGTAAAAGAAAATGACTATTGAAATTAAAATTTTAAAGGTTAGAGAGAATCTCGTGCCGCAGCAAATCTCCAAGAAAACAAATATATATTATACCTTATGAATTGGTCCCAACCAACAATAAGATTTAAAATTATATAATATAATCTTATTGATAATGGACCGCAAGGTTTTCCTTGTCCTCATTTTATTTGTTCGATAGCCAAAGACAAATAAAGGTGCATCAACAACGTTTGATTTTCAGGTCCGATGCAAAAGAAAATGACTATTGAATTAAAATTTTAAAGGTTAGAGAGAATCTCGTGCCGCAGCAAATTTCCAAGGAAACATATATATTATACCTTATGAATTGGTCCTATTTCAATTTTACCAAAAATCATTTTCTTAATGAACCGCAAGGTTTTGGAATAGGAACTTTGCGAAGCTCTACCCAAGGAATTGTGTTGTGTCCGACTTTCAGCAAAGGTGCCAGTTGTAATGTACATGTAATGAAAACATGTCGAGACGTTCCACGTTGATGACCTGCTGAAAGTGACGCTTGTCCGAAAGCATAGATTCATTTCGACGAACTTCGACTTAAAGGTTAAGAACCAGTTCAATAGATTATATGCGTCTAATAAAACGAGTTTTTTTTGGGAATTGGGTTAGGAAAGTATTTTTATTTTTTTTTTTTGGTTAAATTTTTAAAAGATTTTTTTTTTTTCGATTTATTAAATAGAAGTTTCAACGATCAGGTGATCATATCCCCGATCGATTTTTGCGACGCGTCTGAACGCGTTTTATTGTTATGAGGAAAACATTATATTTATGCAATTCTTTTAATTAAAAGATCACGTATATATTATATAAAAAAAATTTTGTTTATTAAATTTTAAAAAGAACACCATTATGCTTACATAGAAAGTTTGCTTTTAAATAATTTATTTTTCCGATTAATAATATCACAAAAATTTTCTTGTTTATGATTATTGGTAACTTCCATGTGAAATCTTCACCTTAACCTTTTGGAAAAAAACACATAGAAAAGGATCGACAATTAATGCTTTGTGATTTTTTGCGAATCAATAATTACAGAGATTATTTAAATGATTTTTTTACCACTTTAAGTATCTTCTTCATCGGAAAATTCAACATAATTTATTGGCTTTGCGGTTGATCGACGAGGACGTTTTTTAGGTCTCTCTGAGACTTCCTTAGTCTCCACATACTCATTGTCATCGACAACAACAGGCGTAAAATAGTCATGGTACTGATCGTTTCTTTCCTAACATGGCATCAACTGGTTCCTCAGTAGGTAATGATATTTTCTTGGGTTTAGTAAGTTTAGTGGGTTTAAATAATGATTTCGGTGTGATCTCAGTGATTTCAGCAGGATTTATTTGGACATCCCTTGTTTTAAATTGCGTCAGTTTTAGAATTTATTTAATTGTATTAACAATATCAACAAATATTATTATAATTGTTTAAAATCATTAATAAATAAAAAAAAAAAAGGAAAATTCCAAGTTTCGATAAAACAATCTAGTTCCTCTATCCATATCTGTTGGGGTGTTTTCCTCCTAAGTTCTTTAAGTTCGCGGCTTTTATCTTTAGGATTTTTTGCTCCTAATACGAAAAAGTTATACTTTCATTAATATATCCTTAAATATTACAGAATAAAACAGTTTTTTTATATCAATGAGAAAACTTACGTTTTCTAAACTGAAATCCACGCTTGAAATTTCATAAAATATTCATATCCATGATCTTTATGAGAATCATTATGAGGATCATTCAATGTCAAGAGCATCTGCATCCTTATCAGCTGCATCCTTATCGTTATCATCATCGTCCGTAATTTTATCAAAGCCATTGGACTCTAATAATTCCATCATCGCAATTTTCGGATGGCCTTCATAATGAAGTGTCTCATTTCAACAAATTTGGCTTGATTCAAAAGCCTTTTAACTTATATTTCAAGTTTATATATCATGTGAGCCTAAAAAGTTTTGAGAATTATAAATTTAGAATCCTACTCTACAAATTAAATTAATAATATTAATTAATATGAACCTTCCTCTTATAATAGTAATCGAGGCTGTGTGTAAAATTCCTTTAGAATTTCTTCGGGAGAATCATATTTTCGAATACGACCTTCGCTATCAAAACACACCATGTTAGACGTTCCGATGAGCGAGCTCATCATGAATCGTTTTTCAAGTCCTTCTTCTAAAGAATCTTTTAGACTTTCTGACGATAATTTGACCGTAAAATCTACGGTAGTTGTCATATGTTGTTCTTTGTAATCCTATTTATAAAAAAAAAAAAAAAATTAAAAATAAAGGCAGATTAAACACATAAAAGATTACGTACGAGGATCCATAGCATTTTGTCTGTTTCAGATATACATTTCTCAAGAAGTTCTTTATCACCCTTCGTACACTAATAAAAAAATTGTTAAATGATTATTGGATCTAAAAGATTATTGCATTAGCGTGATTGAATGGTTTCATACCTTTACAATTGGTGTGATAAATTCCCATAAGAAACCCGGAATTT